GAGGCCCCACTGGGTTCGGAGGTGGCCGAGAATATGGGGGCTTTGTTAGTGATGGATGGGTAGGGGGAGACTCCCCTGACCTGAGACCACTTCTCGCTCGCGGCCTGGAGATGCTCCGCGAGCGGCGCGCGGCGCAGACCCGCAGACAGCGGCCGGCGGACGGGCTGACGCGGCACGGGGCGCCAGCTCCTCACTGCTCACTGACACCCCGCGCCTCCGCTGGCCCCCACGGCCCCGCGCTGCACATGCGCCGAGGCCCTCGAGCCCCCTGCCCGCCGCCCGCCGCCGAGGCTGCCCAATCCGCGCGCCGCGCCGCGCCGCGCCCCGCCCGAGGCGGGCTCTCTGCCCTAGGGCGACCCGTGTGCTGGCGGGGGGAGGGAGGGCAGGGAAACTACAAGTCCCGACGGGCATCGCTGGGGGCGGGGTCCTGCGCGCGGTGTTCTTTGCCGAGCCGCGGGCGCTGTGCATTCTAGGAATTGTAGTCTTCCCGCCGACGGCACCGGAGCTAGACGCTGGTTGCTAGGCGACGACGCCAAACGGCACCCCACCCCCCACGGCTACTCTCTCAGGGTGGTTGCGGAATCCCCGCGGAGCAGGAGCGAAGTAGGGGACCCACCCAGGTATCCGAGTCCCCTGGCGTCCGCTGGGCCTGGCCGACCCTGTGGCGGCGGAGGGAGACGAGAAGGAAGGCGCAGGAGCGCCAACGGAGCCCGCCGGCAGGTACGGGGGAGGGGAGAAGTGGGACCCGAACGGAGGGGCGAGGCCCGTTCCCTCGGCACCAGCACCTTCCCACCACCTGCAGGCCGGCTCCGTCGTCCTTGCTTCCCATCTTTTTGCTCTCGCCAACCACCTGTTTGGTCTTCTTTCCAGCCCTTGCATTTAAATTAACAGGGTTTTTTAAATCACCACAATAAACAGTACTTTTAAAAAAGAGATTCTCCCGTATTCACTACTTTCCCCAACGGTGCCCTAATTTGAATCCATAAAAGCAATCGCCAAAATCTGAGAACCTATTATGTGCCCAGCAGACAGCTGAAAACAAGTATGCGGTCTCGCTTTACATTCCCATTGTCAACCCAGGAAACTGAGGCACAGAGAGGGTGGCGCGCTCTGGTGGAGGAGGGGCGTACAGAGGAAGGACAGGTGCTTCTTCCCCGCCCCCAGGCTGGCACTTTCCCTGCCCCCACCCAGCACCACTTCTCTGGGTGCTCTGAAATGTGCAGGTTTAGGACGCGAGAGAGGGACTAACGCCTCCCTTGACAGAGAATGTGTTCTCTGCTGCTCATGTTACCACTGGCCAAGGGGCCGGCTGCTCAGAGGGTCCGGACTTTTTGACCCTCTCTTTCATTAAAGTCTGAGCAGGGCTGGCGTCCAAGGTTTCGCTGTGTGCTGGTGGTCATCCACGGCCGTTGTTGAGCACCTGACTGACCTTCCCCACTCCCCTCTGGAGTTGCTTCTTATCTCCAATTCCTTTCAGCCTATTCTCATCCTGAACCCACTCCAATCAGATTTTCACCCAACCTCGCCTCTGAGCATCTTTATCTAAGTTATCTTTGACCCTTTTCCTAAACCCAGTGATCAAAGCTCAGCTCCATGTCTTTCTTGAACGGTTAGCAGCACCGTGACCCAGATGAGTGCCCCGCTCCTGGACACAGCTTCCTCGCTTGGTGGGAAAGGATTGTACTCTCCCTCCCCACCCCACACAGCTGCTTCCCGACTTCCTAACACTAGAGCCCAGGACTTAGTCCTTGGAAGCACCTCTGTGCATCCCCTCCCTGGAAGATTTCCTGCTGTCACATGGTTTAATAAACAGCCATTCTTCCCCCTGCACCACCACCACCATTTCTAAAACTTACATCTCCAGCCTGAACCTTGCCCTGAGATTCCAGACCCTTTTACCTGTTGCCTGCCAGTTGGGTGTCTGACAGATCCCCTCAAACTCAAGTGCACTCTCAGTCGTCCCCTGTAAAGCCTGGCCCTCCCCCAGCCCTTTTGCAGCATGACAACTCAGGACAGACACTGGTAGACTGACTGTTCTCTGTGGGTCTGTCTGGCTGCGTCCAAGTCCTGGGCTGTTGCTGCTGCTTGGACTCCTCCTATGCTTCCCAGTTTGAAACTGTGCTCGCGACAGTGGGTATATCAGGATTGGTTTGGCTGTGTAGAATGAAAAATCACAGAGTCCTAGTGGCCCAAACAAGGTTATTCATGTTTCCATAAAAGAGATCTATTGGAAGGAGATCCTGGGAGGTATGGCAGCCCCAAAGTCATCAGGGACCTGGACTCTTCTAGCTTATTCTTCTGCCATCTTTAACATGTTTCCTCACAGTCCAGGATGGCTGCCTAAGTTCCTGCCATTACCTCCTGAGTCCAGGTAGCAGGATGGAAAAGAAGAGTATGCCCCTCCCTTACGCGGAGACCTTCTGAAAATCTCACACCCTGCCACTTCTTGGCACACCCAGCTGCCAGGGAGGCTGGGAAGTGCCATCTTTCAGTTGGGCAGCAATAGGCACAACTAAAAATGAGGGTTTTGTCATTCATAGAGGAAAGCGAGTACTGGTTGAAAAACAACCAGCAAATCCTGCCATGTGGGCCTGTACGTTAAGCACAAGCCATCAGAGCATGACTTGGCAGAAATCCTTAGGAGACTAGCTTTAATCAGAATTAAAAGCCAGGAAAAGGATACGTTTTAATTAACACACATTTGGGATCTATGTAAATGAAGCCTCTCTGGTGGTTGAGAGCGTTGAACTAGTTTGGGTCTGATAGAATTTAAATCTCCTGGAATCTCGTTTCTGTCTCTAGAAGATTTGCTAAGAAAAGAGAAGTGTTGATCCAGCCCACCTTAAAAGTTCCCTTAAATATGAGACAGTCGAGTCCTAATTAGTGAAGTTAAAAATCAATACATGGGAATCAAACCCCTCTTCCCACATGTATGCTTTTACACCACTGAAATAAAGCTGAGGCGCTGCAAGCATCCCTCAGAGATGGATGGACGTGAATACCCGTTTCCTATCCAAAGATGTGAGTATTTTCACGAAGTTCATAGGCTGATTTCCATGGGAATGCACAACTCAAGCGCCTCTTTTCCTGGTGCCCACCCTCAGGTGCAGCGGCTCTGAGCCAGAGCTGCAGGAGGGATGTCCAAGCCCAGCCCAGCTCCGGCTCCACAGGCACCTCTGCCCCCTGCCCACAGCCCCTGCAGACTCCTCTCTGCACCCTCCCCAGGCTCACCCACTCATCGCTTCCATTCATCCATCCGCCCACTCTGGACTGCGGGAGGGCTTGGGTGGTTCCCTTGCTTCTCCTTGGCTGCCTCACCACCAAAGGGCCCCTTGGATCATCCAGTTTTCAGAACGTTCTGGCTCCCGCTACACCCACGCAGACCGCCCACATCAGGTGCAGGACAGATGGACCTGGTTCCTCTAGGCTGAGCCCAGTCCAAGGCACACGCTGGAAGGCATGTCGAGGGCCCCCCAGGACAGCCCCCCATGTGACCGCCACGGGGGGGAGGCAAGAAAAACTCCATCCCTAATGTCATTTCTGTAAAAACAGACTTTTGACGGACGTTTATTCCTTTCCTGTGAGCCCCGGAGGGTGTGGATGCTGTTTTCCTTTATCACATTGATGTGGGTGCCTGCCTCTTTCCTGCAGTTGGGGCTCACCCTGAGAGGTCATGGGAGTCAGGCAGAGCCAGGCCTGGGAGGTCTTTAGAAGCCAGCCTGGGCTGGGGCTCACACAGGCAGCAAACCCCCTGTGGGGGTGGGTAGCCTGACCTCCACCCCAGCCCCTGGCTCAACACGGTTTGTTCTCATCCACGTTTACTTGCTTAGTCAACATTCTTGTGGCATCTATTATTTTACAGGTAAATGAGACCATAAAACTGAACTCTGTCGAACTGTAGCATCTGTGGAAGCCAGGGCTTGAAAACGCACTAATATAGCTTTGTGGGTAGGTCTATCTCCGGACATCAAAGGTGTCTTTCAGCTGAAAACTAAGGAAACCATTTAGGGTACTAGGTCCTTCTGTACGTTTTGACGTTCCGTCATTCCTTCCCCAGACATTTCCGCAATGCCTGCTGCGTGTCAGCTCTGGGGTAAGGACCAGGGACTCAGAGGTGATAAAGCAGGGCCTGTACCGCCGCTCAGCGCCATGTTAGGGGACTTTGGATAACTTCAAAGGAGGCACAGAGAAGGGAAGAGCTACGGGAGGAGGAAGGAAGTTGTCACAAGTGGTGATATCTGAATCAGGCGTTGAGGAACGCCTGAGAGCTCACCAGGGAGCGGAGAAAGGAGAGCGTTTGAGGTCAGAGGATGCATGTGAGGGGGTTTCTGCGTTAGTAAGAAGCCCGAGTGGCTGGGAGAGGATGGAGGAAGAAGGCCCCAGGGACTGCGATCCCGGGCTATGAAGGGTGGACATGCTGTGGAGGCCCCACTGGGTTCGGAGGTGGCCGAGAATATGGGGGCTTTGTTAGTGATGGATGGGTAGGGGGAGACTCCCCTGACCTGAGACCACTTCTCTCTAAACCTTCCCCACCTCACGGGGGGCACCCCACCTGCCCCGCCTGCCCGAGGCTTAGCCCCACACTGTCCAGTCCATCAGGAAGACCTGCCTGGAAGGAAGGTGGAATGAGGTGGGGTGAGGTGGGGGGCTGGGGCTGGGAGACCTGGCAATGTCCCGTGGCCTCCCAGCCCTGAGGCCGGGGCAGAGGGTTTGTGTGAACACAAGAAACCAGTTATGAGGGGCTCGCCCCAAGGACAGAACTGCCCCCGCAGCGGACCCTGAGCCTTCCCAGCTCCGACCTGCCAGCAAGCTCTGACGCCAGAGAAGGGGTGCTCAGTGTGAGCAGCAGCACGTCTATGACCTTTCAAAGGTCCCTTGTCCTGCAGCCACGTTAGGGCAGAGGCTACAAACCCTGCAAATTGTGCCTTTTCCAGGCCTCCTCCCAGAGTCAGCTTCCTTCCAGGGACCCGAGGCCTAGCATTCCCTCACTCGGAGGGCCAGGCCCCAAGGAGGGGAGCGAGGAGTGGGACCTGGGCAGACACTGCTCCCTGAGCCCAGACCCCCACACTCCCAGCGCTACCTTTGGCTCACCAGGGATGTCTGGGGTGTCTGGGATCGCGTTGCATTTAGGAGTGAGCGGGAGTAGAACGAGACCCCAGAGTCGTGCCCGCGCATGGGGGCAGCAGGCCTCTGTGGACAGTGATACCACAGCCAGAGTGGGCAGGGGAGGGCGATGGATCCAAGTCAGGGTGGGACCACCAGGATGAGAGGTCGGGCAGGGCAGAAACCCACCCGAAGGTGACAGCAAGGTCAGGGCCCCCGCTACAGGGGTCACGCCTTCCTGCCCACGGTCCCACCCGCTCTATAAAACCCAGGGCTTCAGAGAGGTTAAGCCACTTGTCCTCAGATGCCCAGCAGACCTGGAACTCCAGCCAGCAGCATCCACAGCCTCCAAGGTGACCTCTGCACCTTCCCACACCTCTGCCTCATGCCCGCCTCGCCCCCCCTTGCCTGTGTCAGAGGGTGGGGACCACTCCACATCCAGCCAGCAGCCCCTAGCAGAGAAGGGGTGGGGCCTAGCAGACAACCTGCCACCTAGGCCACAGACAAGGGGCCATTCTTTTGTGGAAAATGGAGTGTGTTCTGCTCTCCAGATGGCCTGTCCCACCATGAAGTGCCTGGTGGTATTTGAGCCTCATTCTCTTTAAAGTGATGGGGCA